ATTACTTCTATTACTTCTAACATTTTTGTGGTTGCAGCTGAAGGACACTCAACTTAGTATCCTTCTGTATACCTTCCGTATACCTAAGCTCTGGCTCCCAGAAACACCACCCCAATGAACATTTTTCATCACAGATTTATATTTCCTGAAGCTTACATAGTGTGTAGTGTAATTATATTTGTATACTTGGCTGTTTTAGTTGGGAGGTTCTTTCATGGAAGAAATTGTGAACAAGATATTAATCATCTATTAATTATTTGTTCATCTCATTGATGGAGTATTGTAGTGTGGAGTACTGATACAAGCAAGTTGTATCCGGATTGATACTCATAATAATTTGTGTACAAAAAAAAAAATAAATGGCAGACCTGGTTTTCTGCTCACTGGTGGGTAACAGTGGTCATAAATGATCAGCTCTGAAAGCAGCGATCTACTGGCGAAACAGGCAAGCTCTGCAGAGTGCAGTTCTGTTGTTTGCTATCGGTGCGTTTTTGGTTAAAAATTTACCCAGAGTTAAAAGGTGGAAGTATTTAAGTCAGCTGAGGAGCTGAATGGAGCAGTAAGGGAGTTTTTCAGCTACTGATCTGCCTGTAACTTCAYGCACACGTAACTTATGTGCACTTTTTTTGCCAAATCTTATACACTTGCTTAAGCACTTCCCCMAGTAGTTTTCTGACTTGCAACTTCTTTGCTGTTAGATACTTGCACAATTTTGGGCAACACTAAGAGTGTATATGTGATCACGTTTTATTCTAAGCTATTTTTTGCAGAAGCACAGGTAGGGTAAAGCGGAGTTGTGGAATAAAGTGAAAGTAAGTGCATAAAGCTGGGAATGGAGACCTGCAAGTAGTTGGTTCCAGCATTTGAGGCTAAATTTGTGTGAGTAAATTGCACGTGATCAGCAGAAATCTCTACTTACAGAAACGGAATAGACAAATGTTCAGTATGAATTATTTCATATGTAGCTGTATGTAGTTTTGTGGATCTCGGGTCTTCTGAGCTCTCTTAAAAGAGTTGGTGTTATTTCTCTACGTGTTATAGTTACAAAATCCTTTATAGGTCACTAAAAATATTTGTTAAAGAAAGGTTAATWCTCTGTTCTTTGGAGCCTGTGACAACCAAAATTAATTGGTATGATCTAAATGTGCCTGCTTCTCTGACTCAGCATTTGATTTATGATGCTTTTTTCTCTTAGCTCTTACAGTGTTGTGTGCCAGTTGAAATGATGCTGATTCTCTTGACAGTCTAAAAAGATGACTCTGAGCTTCTTCATAATTCAGCATGATGCATCTTAAGTGACATTTCTTGAGCAAGGCTCCTGTGAGGACTGGGCGCTACTTCTGGTTTCCTTTTCGTGCCTCTCTTAAAGCACTTTGTATGGCCTGGGTGTCAGGTAGTCAATATTTAACTTTGGGAACAAACATTAAATATATCTTTTCTAAATTGTTCTACCTTAGGTGTGACATTCCGACTATAGTTCTTAATACAGTTACAGTAGCAGTGCTGTGGTTTAATGCTGCTTTTTCTTTAAGGATTTGAGAGAACTATTTTAAGAAATGCAGCAGTGAAGTGTATGCAGTCTGTACTTTATCAGAACACCTATTTACATCTATTTTGTTGTCTGTACTTAAAAATATGTGTATGTATATATGCAGAGATATGTGTGTATTCCTTGGCTTTGCTGGTGCAGTGGATGGCGTCTTTGGATCTCAGCTCCGCAGTCATCTTGGACAGGAGCTGAGGTAGCTGCACAGGAATAAACTTTCCAACAGAACTCATCAGGTTTCTCTAGGTCTGATCTAACGGGGGCCTAAGTTCGGAAGAGGCAAGTTGTGCAGACAGTAGCTGCAGCAGCTCTAATGATAGGTGTAGCCATGAGGAATCCAGGCGGGATCCGTCGTCTCGAGCAACGCGGAGTTGGAGCTTGTCAGCCGGCCGGGCGCTGGGACAACCTGCCTCTCTAATTGCGTCACSTGTCGGGCTCGTGTCGGGCTCAGCGCTGCCGCCCGCGCGTGGCCCCGCGCTGGGGGCTGCCCCTCGCTGTCCCGGCCCGTCAGCAGTGCTTCATGTCCCTGGTGACTCAGTGCGGCGCAGCGGCAGCCGTGGCGCTCTCCTTTGGCTCCTTGCTGGCTTCCAGCTACATCTGGWCATGTAAATACCCTTGAAAATGTGCTTCTGAAAACCACTACTATTTCCACATTTAAACTTCTCTAAACTACTTTCTCCGGACATGTTACTGATGTGAGAATTAAAAGCTTTTGATTATGGAGTAAGGAGAGAGAAATACTGTAGTTGCATCAGTAGTTAAAAGTCAGATTATTTTACTCGGATCGTCTACCAAATGCTCACCTTGTGAATGCTTATTTGGCTTCATTCATTTTGACTGGATAACGCTGAAACAAGTATCTATTTTAAGCCAACTGACTACAACTTTCTTAACCATTCTTTCCCTCCTCATGGGAGGCAGCCTGCCCATAGTTTACAATTTGTGAGCAGAAGAGTTTTGACATGAGCTGAATGAGTTAATTCTGTAAACTTCAGCTTGCAGAGGGGAGAGAGGCAAAATCCATGTAGCGTTATTTCAAACATGAGGAGGATTCTTATTTTGGTGTTGGGTAGGCTAACATAAGCTAAATTAAAATCTGCAATAAAGAATTTTGAAACTACTTCTGTAGCTTTTATTGCAAAGAAAAAGTTTTTACTGAAAAAGAACAGTTTTGATAAACATCGTACCTGTATGGGCAGAATTTAAAAATGATTTTTATCCTTAAAGTAGAAATGTTCATGTCTGCATTAAATGAAGGATTCATAGACATTTTCATTCTAATCCTCAGTGCCTTATGATCTGAACTGAAGYGGGCAGAGGACTCTGGAAATTTTAGTGCCAACACTTCAGTGCTAAATRTTTTAGGAGCACAGTTCTGTACGGAGCACTGCAATATGGTCCTGGCTAGATTACTGGCCCAATGTAACTGTGCATTTGTGTATCTTGTCCCAAATGATACTCATTAGTGTGTTAATCACTCTGCTTAGTTCTGTTTTGTGTGTGTTCCTATTAATATTGTCACAGAAATCTTGTTAGAATGTTTTGTTTTGGCTGAATTGCTTTTTTTTTTTTTTTTAAATGAACTCTGTGTTCCTTGCTCACACAGTGAGATTTGGAATAAGGGATTTTGAGAATTGTTCAACAGTGAAAGCTATAGCTGTCACCACTGGAAGCGTAGCATGGGGCAATACCACATTCCACCCTTGAAGATGCACATCATAGCTACCAATTTCAAGTATCCTATTTAAAACACTGTGTCAGTCCTTAAGTTTGCTGCTGCTATTTGCATTTTGAAAAACAAGGCAACACTTTTTYATCGGTAGGAGGTGATGGACAAGTCTTGTCTTTTTTTTGGTGGAAATGACTGAAGAACATTCTGGGCTGTGGTGCTCCTAACTTCTAAATTGAGAACTCTATGTTAACATGCATTTTTTTTCCTTTATTCAAGCTTCCTGAAGTACTAAATTATAAGGGCAATACTTAAGTTGTATGACTTGTGTTTAACTTTCGGTTCTTCTTTGGTTTCAGAGGAAAATTTGCAGTGGTGAAGAAGTGCATCCAGAAAGGAACTGAAAAAGAGTTTGCAGCAAAATTCATGAGAAAAAGAAGAAAGGGCCAAGATTGTCGAATGGAAATAATCCATGAAATTGCAGTTCTTGAGTTGGCACAGTGCAACCTTTGGGTCATTAACTTGCATGAAGTTTATGAAACTGCAACAGAGATGATTTTAGTCCTGGAATAGTAAGTACTAACTTTTTTGAGTAACCCTCTGCAGTGTTTACTGAAAACAAATACTGTAAAGATATTGTGCATCAGTGATTAATGTAACAAAAGACTTTATTGCATGGCAGTTAGCCTTTCTGAGTTTGAAAAAAAAATGCAAGGAAAACAGTAGGTTATGAACAGTCTTCTAATTACTGCAGATGACAGTAAACTCCTCCAATTATGTAGCAACTTTCAAAGCTGAACCTTAATTTGTGTAGCTAAAATTTGCAGTGAAATATAAACTCTGTACACTCCCTTTTTTGTAAAAGAGGGTGGGGAAAGAAACACTGATTATCTGTTCAAATATTGAAGTTTGTTTAATTGTCAGTGCCGAAGGTGGGGTAAAATCTGTTTTTGGATGAAGTCCAACTGAAAAAAAAAAAAAAAAAAGGGCATCAAAAACAATCTCATATTGAAATGCATCCTCGGTCTTAAAAAAAAACTATGATGTGACCTATAATGAAATTCTAGTCTGTAACCACATGGTTGCTTTTTTAAGTCTCAGTGAAAAACTGTTCTGAAATCTCTTCAAAATGAAATCTAAGAATGTTTAGCTTTTAGGGGGTCCTTTTTGAGGGAAGAATTAGACAGCTATTGATCTAATCTCTTTTTTTTTCTTTGATATATCGCTGTATCTTTGTGCTTTGTACAAAGCTGGCCTTGGAGTAGATGTTTCCTAACAGTTAATGCTGTGATTGCATTATGTAGGTAAATGATGCAGAAACCTTTCTTTTCTTGGCTGCTGTATCTGGTTAAGCTAAAAAYCTTTCAAATGCAGGATGTTTCAGGAAATATGTAAGTGTAGAAGAGCAGGCTGCTTAGTACTGAACCTCTGTACCCTCCTTTTTTGGTCATGCTCTCTGCCTTGAGTGCCTGTGTTCACTTGCACTTCCACTTTTCTCAAGGACAAGACTGACTTTAGAACTTCTTAAAAATGTCTTTAACTCTTTGGAAAAAGGCAAGAGCACTGTACCAATGTTTCTTTGAAGACTTTAGGGCAGGAATTCAAGACGTTTTTAACATCTTAGTGGGCAAGTGCAKGGAATATAAGAATGATAGAAATCTGACCTAGAATAGTTTCTCTTCAGTATATTAATCTAGGACCCCACACTCGTTCGTTTCCCCTCTACTTAACGATCATTTGCTTTAGATGGAAGTTTCTTCAGCTGCAAATACATCTAGCATAGCAGAGGTTTGGGCCTTTGACACCTAAATACCTATAGGTGGTTAAATGCTCACTGCTAATAAGCTCAGTGAAGATCTTTTTCAAGCATTATAGATTTTTAATGACTAGGAAAGAARCAGGGAGGCTTAGCGGTTCAGAAGTTGTTTAACCTGTCTGACATATATATCTACTTCATATACTTTTTTCTTTCTGAGTGGTAAAAATAAATGGTGAGAAATCTTGTGGTCCAAGTTTAATGAAATGAAGTGAGACTCTCTGCTAAGAGTGACATCTAGAATAGACTTTTCTTAACTTCATTGTGCAGCTGAGATATTAGTGATGATATCGTGAAATACAGCAGATATTTGAACTTTGCAAATCATATTACCAGAATGTGACCAAGCCTCCTGAATATGCCTTAAACACCGGCAACAATGGTCTGAATAAAATACATCCCTTCACAGATTTAACCTGTGAGCTTGAGTTGAGCAATGGGCTTTGTGATGCAGAACTGATAGTTTTCTTCAAGAGCTCAGTTCTCTCTTGCAATTACAAAATGCATTTTAAYCCGAAGTATTAACTAGTAACCAGATTGTGCGGTAATTAGCAGCTCGATTGTTTTTATACGCATCAAACAGCCGTCGTTTGTTCCAGATAAATAGCTGTGTGTTGGAGTTATAAATTACAAAAACACTCTTTCACTGACTTCAGCAAGTATGTCTGGATGCTTCTTTAATGTCAGCATGTTCCAGAAACATGTTGCAACAGAACAGGTATGAATGTAGGTAAATTTCTGACATTCTGCATGCAAAGGATTAAAGAACGTACCTAGGCTGTAAGCTTATCTAGGGCATAAGATGATTCTGTTTCTGTTAAGCTTGATGGTCTATGTGTGAGATTTTATCAGGGAAAGGAGAAAAAGTTAGTGGGCAACAGTTGAATACCTGTTTATCTGCTGTGGTTTTGAAAATCTGTGTTGATACAGATCTGTCATGAGGGGAATGCTGGTGCTTTGCCTTGAAGAAAAGAAGCATTAATCTGGAGAGTTGTCTTTAAAGCGGCATCTGTTTTAACAAGAAGCAAATTTSAAATTGCCTGGTAAATGTTAATGCAAGCTCTAAGCTGTGGGAAGCAAGGAGGCATTAGAGCTGGTTAGAGACGTGGAGCGGCAAAGCTCTAGCTGCTCATGTCCCTMATGGACAGCACGCCCTGACTTCCCTCCATTGGCACAAACCTCAGTAGAGAGTTGAGGAGGAATTAGTCTGAAGGGGTAGTATGTGGAGCCTGGGWTTTATCTGTGGGTCCGTCATTTCAACGGAAAGGGAATGAATGTACCCAAGAATGTTGAACGTGTGTTGGAAAAGGTAGCAATATAATCTGGAAATGCTGTCATTTTCCAAAATATTTTTTTTTCTTTTAATCTAACTTCTGGGCTCAGTACCTGTGACTTGTCTTTTTCAGACTCTTGATAGAAAGAGCACCGATGCCTCAGCTGAAGAACTGACTTCTGTAAATGTTCATCACTGGGTTTATACGTGTGTGGAAGGGACAGAGGGTGCTGTCATAGTGGGTCAGGTGTTGAACTTCCGTGTGGAACACCAATATCTTGGCTGTTAGGTGTTACTCTGTAAGAGCTTCTGAGCTGGGGCTCTGACTGGCAGGGGCTTCTCTACGTATTTGTAGATACCCAGAGATACCATTTGTGTAGATGTACACAAGACATAAGCCTTTCGTATCCTTCTTTAAAAAGAGAAGTTTTTACAATCTTTAAGAGATGTTTCGAGTGTATTTGTTATGTCGGATGAGGTACTTTTTACATCTGCTAGCGATTGGACCCAGACAGTGTTAGTATTTTGTGTCATCTTGGGCATTACTCATTGTTCTGTGYGTGAATAGATGGTTTGGCATGAAAGGTTTCACTTGTTATCCCTTGCTTTACAAGTGGATAAAGTAAGGGTCTGCTGGCAGGAAACTTCATTCAGCGTAGGGATCAACAGCTGGAATTTGAAGCAGAAATACACACAACAAATAAATGGTCTGTTCCACTGTTAGGCTCTAACAGGCAAGGTGCTAATTTAAAATGTAGTCTCAGATATGTTCAAAGATGCATTCAAAAGAAGCTGGATGGTTTCAGTTGAATTTTGAGGCAACATGATTGTTATCATGATGAATGTTCCAGGCTTATCAGATGCCCTTAAGTTTGTTTATGCTGCTAAACAGTAAAATTAGCAGGGTTTTCATCAGCAAAGAACTGGTTTTCACTTGAACTTAGAGAGACGTTACTAATACAGTAGAATTTTCATAAACAAGTTAAAATAGAGAAGGAATTCCAATTGCTGTTTGAATTCTTAGTTCTCACTTTTTCTGATAGCTACCTAAGGGAGTTTATACTATTGAAATCAAGTAGTGGCAACAACACTATGTGTGGGATTCTGATGTATTTTCTTTTCCCAAATGAGGAAAGCTTGCTCACTTAAAGATGTTGTTCCAATTGCTGACTTTTCCACTGTGGGAGCATTCTGTGTGGAGGAGTCCAGTTGTTTGCAAAGCAGTTATTTCATACTGATCATTCAGGAAGCTGCAGCTTARCAGAAGATATGCTCTAGAGGAGAAATGGATATTTATATTTATATTGGAACTTTTGGTCTGTGTGTGTTTAAAAACACAGCAGTGCCATGCCTAACARGTATTTTAATCTCTTCTGTATGTGTGCATGTGTTTCACAGCGACAATACACAAAACAATCTTAGAGTAATTTATCCTCTTGCATCCATGTTCTTCTCTGAGAATGGTAGCTTTCTGATGGAGCGAATTGTTTGGAAGAAGTCATTATATCAGTATCCCAAGTAGAAACTTGATATAAAAATGAAGCATTCCCTATCAAACTATGAATTCACCTGAAACGTCTCATGTGAAGCTAAGCATATTGATCTCGATGGTGGATGGTAAGGGCCATGTTTTAAAAGCCACTAAGTGGGTGTTTGKTTCTATAAGGTCTGTATTTGCTGGTCTCTCTTAAAGATGCTGATGAAGCCAGCATCTTCAGAATCCTCCAAGTTTGGAAAAAAGAAAAAGTCTTTTCTGGGTCCATTTTTTTTTCTTTCTCTCATATGTTGCAGCTGTCTCTTGATTTCCATCGTGAGACAATGTCTGCTTCAAATTTTATCGTCTTTGCTTTTAACAAATATAATCCCAGGCTGTTAATGTGTAGTATTCAAATTCTAGAGTGTATATTTTAGCTTGGTGCTCTTCAGTGAACCTCAGTGTCTTAATCTACTTATTAGCATAACTTTTATTATATGTCTRCTGAGCAGACATACAGTAGACAAAAGGCTTAAGTCTCTTCTTTGATTTTTTCAGCTCTATTAAAAAKGAAGTATGCTATGTTTCTCATATATATATGTGTGTATATATATGTGTGTGCGTACTACATATACAAAAATTAAGTACTTTACTGGAAAAATAATCATGTTGCTGCTGTAGAATAGGYCTATGCTGATAATTTTGATAGCATATTTTAGCATCATATGTGAATTATTGCTTGCTGCTACAAGGGGGTTAAACTATTATTCCTGGTGGCACATTATGGCATTCTCGAAAAAGACTCATTTTGTTTCCCCTGTTAATTACAGTGGTCACTTTTCTATCCCTATTTTGTTCCTACTGATGATTATTTTTAAATGAATCGGTTCTAGAATATTGGAATGTAGTATCCAATGTGCTTTTTTAAAAGGTGACTGGTATCTGAATCTTGTCCAAAGCTAAGATGTTATTACTCTTTTCCTCGAATTAAATAATGCGCTGAAGGAAGCTGTGATGACGAATGCCGGGTATAGGTGATTTTTCTAGGGGAATTAAAGTATTGCTACTCCTTTCATGAAAACTGAGTTTTACCTTCACCTTTTCATACAGCATAATGAGAAGAGGTTACTTATATATAACAGAAATATTTATATATATATATATATATATATATAAGAAAAAAATTTAAAATTTGAAATATAACACTTCTCTAAATTGCTTTTCTTATAAGGTCATCTGCAGGGAGAATTTCAAATAATGGTAACGAGGCCATTTGTTAAAGCAAAAGAAGCTTTTGTATAGGATAAGGCTTTTTAAGGTGGTTCAGCTATAGTCACAAAGCTGGTGTTGGCATAATGAAAATTCTGAGTGTATCTAAGTGCTCTTTTCTGGAGACACATGGTGCAGATGCACCATTCATGAAGAACAGTCTTGTTACATCTTTGGATGTGTCCGTCATCTTTCTTGATGATCTGTCTGTCTAGTCTGATTTAATAAAAATTAGCAAGGAAAGGCCTGAAATAGGTTGGTGCACCTGAATGAATTTTAATGCTTGTGGGAAGTCACGCTTGGCATGTCACAGTGTGAAGCAGCTGAAGAAGATCCTGTCCTAAGGGTTTCACCACCTTTCAGTAAGGGATGACTATAGGATTTCATGTGAAACAGAAGTTATGTACGTGTTGATTTCATTTTATGCTTTGATAAGTATTAATGCAGCAATCAAGGGTACATTGTCAAGCTTTGATGGCCATTCTTGTTTCAAGTTGGAGTATCTACTTTGCTCGTCTTACGACTTATGCCACACAGTCATGTGAAACATTTAGGTCTGTAGTCCTTGCTCCACAGGGATGGTGCTACACATGGCTTTGGAGTGCTTTAAAAATATTCTGTCTATTCACTTTTTTGTAGCTTTTTATATATTACTTATATATACACATAATAAACACACAAAGATAAGAAAGCAAGCTTTGAGAGCTGAATTCTCAGAAGCCTTTTTAGATGGAATCCACTTAAACTTGATGCATCCTTATGTACCAGAGACTTCACAAGCATGTCAGTCACCTTCTGAACTTTACGGTTAGTCTTTCTGAGTATATCCAAGTTGTGTGGCGGGGAGGGTGATGGAGCAAAGGCAATGGGCAAATTACAGTGGCTTTTTTTTTTTTTTTTTTTGACATAGGGAATGGCAAAAGATGCATCTTTGATGAAAACCTTGTCCTAAAGACTGTACTTTGAGATGAAGGCTGATCTCTCCAAAAGAGCCCCATAACTTTCTATAGTTTCATACTTAACTTTCATAACTTTCATATTCTGTAATATGTGAGAGATTTTTTTCACCAAGTCTGCCCTACTTCATAGAAGTTATCTAGAATTCCTAGACTATAAAGGTTTGCAACATGTTTAATAATTGGACAAAAATCTACTGTAGGTCATTACCCCCGCTGATCTTGATTTGTTTATTCTAAATAAGWGTGTGTAGAACAAAACAGGCCTACAGCTGATTCTTTGAAATAATAAAGACTTTGCTCCATAGTGCTGCCGGAGGTGAAATTTTTGACCAGTGTGTGGCKGAGAGGGAGGAAGCCTTCAAAGAGAAAGATGTTAAGCGACTTATGAAGCAAATTTTGGAAGGAGTTTCCTTCTTGCACAGAAACAATGTGGTTCATCTCGACTTAAAGGTAAGACTGTTGCTGTATTTTTCTCATGATTTTCTTGAGACAAATTCTGACTTACTGATTGTATGTTATACTAATCCTGATTTATAATTAACACTTTTAAACTGTCTATTCCTCAAACAATAAAATTCTGCCTTTGGAAATGCAGTGCATGTTAAAGTTGATGGGATTTTGATGGGTTGATGCGAGCATATCACACTTGCATTGGCTGAATTGCATGCTGTGAATTTGAAAGCAAATTTTGATTGCACCTTAATTTGGGAATGAGTACTTCAGCTAAGACCTGGACTGTTTTAAAGTGCCGTGTATTTTTTTTCTTAGTAAGCAATAGTTTTGACAAAACTAAGGGAATAATTCATTTATCACTATTCTAAGAAATTCAGAGTATTATGTGTGGCTGCGAGCTATAACAGGACTCTAGAAGATCATTATTCTTTTTTTGATAGCAAGTGTTAATTCATTTCCCTCAGCTTCCAACTGTATCTCAGCTTTGAGCTCGAGCTACATTTATCCCTGTGTGGCAACATAAAGTCACTTTCCATTTAAAATTTTCTAGTGCTTCCTTACGTTTCTACTTCTCCTATTGATTACTCGGAATGTTGTAAGCTATTACTATGTTGTAAGCCCTTATGCTTTTTCTGTCCTATTGCAGAAATACTGCATTGCATTTCAGCAGTAGTACAAAGCTGCAAGTAGGTTCCAGGCAAGCTCTGCATTCTTCATATATAACATAGCTGATAAATGATTTATTACTTTCCAAAGCAGATGATGGGCAGTGCTTGCACACAAACATCTTCTAGCTGTTTCCCAACTGCKTATTCAAATTATCTCTGGGATCCGTCAATATTTTCTGTGGCCCATTAATTTATTCACACATGCAGAGAATATTAATAGTTGTACTGAAATGACTAATGGGAAATTTCTAGCAAGTAATGTGAGAATAAGGATTCCRAAGGATTCAAACCAAGAGCAGTTGGAATCTCTTAAGGTTGCRATCTGCTCGCACAAGACACGCGGCACCTCCCCTTGGCCTCTACATCTGGCCAAAAAATTTCCATTAAATTTCCTTGAAGCAAATTATATAAAATTAAAACCTGTAGTTGTGGACAATATATATTCATGGCTTTGGTAGTTAAGTGTGCGGTGTTCCTTAACATAACAGCAGCGGGGTTTCTGCACTCAGCAATGCCTTGTGCTTTACTTGACTACACCTTTTACTTAATGACARAAGCAGACTGGGGGTGTTGATTACAGCTTGCGCCCAGGCAGCTTATTTGGAGCTGAGCACGAGCTTGCCTAAGCTCTCTGACAAATCAGAAGGTTCACGTTRTGAAATAGAGCATCTTGAGTTCTTGCTGATGTTCTTGCTGATGGAAGGATCCACTGTTACTTTACTGACTCATAACTATATAATTAGCAGGGCAAATTAATTTCTCATATGCTTGAGTGTTCATATGTTTATACATTAGCGTGGCTTGTGCAGTTTGGCTTTTTTTTGAAAATCAAGTGGCTTGAATGAGTCCTGTTTACAGCATGGTGTACTTTGTGACATAAAAGACTGATTTTTTTTTTTTTTTGCAAAATAAGATATAGGCAATATTGGCAAATAAATATCAGCATATTGGCAAATAAAGGTGATTATTAGGGTTAAAATGTGTGGATGTTTTGAGGATTTGAGGATAGATCTGCATGCCTTAGAAGACATGAAAAATGGCCCATATTTCACGGGTTAATTTCTAAGTAAATGCTTTGCAGAGTAATATTTGGATAGCTTGTGTGAAGCGTATTCCTAGCAAGTAGTGCTAGGAATATCAGAACTGCCACCTGTTTCTTTCCAAAGGGGTRGATCTCCTGAAAGCTGCTTGCAACCTGACTTATTTTTAATGGCAAAGTGCAATCACGTAGCTTCAGTTTGGAGCAGGAGTGAATAGAATGCTCTGAGTGCAAACTAAGTGTCCTTCAGCAGAGCTGTCTTCATTCTACTTAATTTGCCCAGTGTGCGTGCGCGCCTTGCCGAGTCTTTCATCTCCTCTCAGTGGTGCATAAAAGCTGCAGACTAAGGGCAACTCTCCTGCTTTGCTTTCTCAGGCTGTTTGAYTTGATCTTCAGGTGATTAGGAATGAAAGAAAGTAAAAATAAAAATAAAAAGGGAGGGGAGGGCGCAGTGGTCCTGCTGTAAGGAGTGAGCCCTCCTGGAAGGGAGGACTCGCTGCCTCTCACGCCGTGGGGTTAAGGAAAGAGCCGGCAGCTGAGTCAGGGAGGGAATGAGCGTGCACCAGRCGTGTATTCCTGTGACATATATTGCTCTCATAGGGCGTATGGAGGACTAGTTGCCCTTCTGTCTGTCTTGTTTTCAAAATACCACGTGCAGCGAGGAAAGGGAGCAGAACCCCTGTCTGAAGGATGGTGCTCACACCACTGTTCAGAAGTAAATTAGTGCAATTACTACGGAAGTGGCTGCTGGAAAGCACCTTACAGGCTAATTTTCTCAACTGAATATTTCAAGGGGATACAGGATTAACATTTATTACATTAAAATATAGCATTTTATGTATTACTTAAAGGTCCAACTAAGGAAAATGTGACCGACAGTTCAGTATGAGTTAGGGTTATGGCAGGGGCTTTGTTTGGCGTGCATGTGTTGTGGGTGATGAGAGGTAAAGAAAAAAGCACCCAATAAAAACTGTTTTGGCAAGTGTGTCAGCTACTGAAATACTGATTATTTCAACACAGGTCTTGAGGATTTTATGAAAYGTTTCATGAAAAACTTGCTTGATTCAAGCATAGGGGATGAGTGCTTTTTCTCCTGCTTTCTATTTGTGTTTTGACAAAGTAACTAAATTTCCCATTGGGAAGGACAGCGGAGAGGCTACTGAGGGAGGCATGAGCAGCTTTCTGCATGTTTGCTCTCCTAATACAAATAGAGAGTGCCAAATGTGAACAGTAAAGCATATGGTAATGTGTAGTTCCAAAAGGTTTTTGTATGGCAGCCAGATCCCAGTCTGTAATCAAAAAAATAAGCTGTTCTTAATACATACATTCACAAATAGATTGGCAGTTGTTTCATTGAATTTTAAATACCCGTAGCTTAACTTCCAGGAATTAAAACATTTCATTATATTTAGGTCTTGCCACGAGAACTGGCCAAGCTTTTTTAAATGTTCTCTTTGCAGTTCTRTTTCTGTGCTCAAAGGCAAAGCTATCTGTGAAATCTGGGGAATGAGGAAGGGACGGCCCTGTGATGAGGGGAGAAAGACTGAACGTGGATGATGATCCTTCAGTTGGGTTATCAGCCTTGTGGCCCCCTTCCTTCTCCATGATCGCTGGTACAAGATGGTCCAGGGTCTCAATGCATATAGCAAATGGTAATTAATGGTAATCCCAATGTGGAAAAACGACCCGTGGGGTGGCAGGGATATTTCTCTCCCCCACCAACATGCTTTGGTTGCCAACTCTGCAAAAGATGCTGCTTAAGGTTCGCTTTCATAGAGATTTTAACTGAGGGAGCACTCAGCATAAGAGCTGAAGCATTTCATGGCCACCTAGTCAGCTCTGAAGAATGACAGCCTGAATCTCGTGACGTCAAAGCAATCAAGTTTATCCAAAGGGGATGCTCTGAAACCTGTTTTTCAGGTTGCTGGATTTTTTTAGACTGTTCTTTCTGTAATACGATTGTTCATACTTTGAGCAAGATTGAAGTCAGTTGCAACAGCCTCTCTGTAAACAGGTGTAGTCAGAGGAGTTCCGTGTGTTCTGGGCTTTCTTGGCTTGGTTTTACCTTCTTAAGTGGTTTTTGAAGACCCTTCAAGAAGAGGAATTTTCCACTGTCTATTGGAAGGAAGCAAGAAGGGCGGGGGCGAAAGTTGGCACGAAGGAGTCAAGTGCAGAGTGGAGGGCTTCATATGCAGATGTTTAATTATAACTCCTGGCTGTTTCTTTGTATGTGTGTGCACTAAACTAAGCAAGGCAGGCGCTTGATTCTCAGTCATAAAYGTAAAATCCTGCCACCCCTCCTAGCCTGCGTGTCTGTTCAGGTCCATCCTGGAAGAGCACATCCTGAGTCTGGTACGTGTTAGGGAATATATCACTCCTCCTTGCAATTTAATGTAGTTGGGCAACATCGCGCTGTCACATGAGGCCTGGCTGATCTCAACGGTCTGCTTGTTTTGTTTTTCAGCCCCAGAATATTCTGCTAACCAGTAAATCCCCCCTGGGTGACATAAAGATAGTTGACTTTGGTCTTTCCCGAATAATGAAGAGCAGTGAGGAACTAAGAGAAATTATGGGAACTCCAGAATACGTAGGTAAGYGTTCGCTAAAACGGTGATGTCTTGAGGACTGAACTAGTTCGGCTTGTGGGATGCTGAGGTGAGAAACTGCCTCCAGATTGGCCCAGAGCCGGGCTGGATGAGCCGCTCCCGGGTTAAGGCACTCGGCTGTTCCTCGGATGTGGCCCTGCTGCACAGCTGGAAGGGACGTGGCAGGCTCCGAGTGGCAATTGGGCCCCGGGTTACAGAGGAGCACGTAGCTTAGATAGCTGGCCCACAGTAGTAGCAAATATTACATCCATTAAAGTTTCAAAAAGAAGGGTTCAGCCTTTTACCAAGTACCGTCTTGCAGMCCTGGTAGGCTTGCAGCTGTTTAGATTTTTTCAGGGGGAAAAAAATAAATCATGCCAGATCTTAAAGAAGTACTGAAGATACCTCTGAAGTTGTGTGCTATGTTCTGTATGGGTTTCAGTGCTGGAATATGGAATGGTGGATATGGAAACTCTATTTCCATATGAAATTTTGGGTAGGGTTTCCTTAACTGAGGAGGAGACTGGTCTGATCTTCTCAAGTTGAGAGCGAAAGGTAAAAAAGAAGTAACTTTAAATCAACAAATGACAGAAACTTTTAAAATAACTTGAATAGAAATATCTGTATTTCAACTGGCTGCCATGCTCCAGATGGCTTGTATTATTAAATAATGCCACATGCCTGTTCTTGCACTACAGAACCACACAAGGTGATGTCTGCATATGACTAAAAAAAACCACTTTTTTTTYCCTCTAAACAGCTCCTGAAATTCTGAGTTATGACCCAATCAGTACAGCAACAGACATGTGGTAAGTTGAAAAAAATTAATGGCATCAGAACTTGAAAGTGCTTTGGGTTTTGTTTGTTGAAGTTCTGCCTTTCCATTTTCTGTTTTGAATTCAGGAGCATTGGAGTCCTGGCGTATGTCATGTTGACCGGGATATCGCCCTTCTTGGGAGATGACAAGCAAGAAACGTTCTTAAATATATCTCAGATGAACGTCAGTTACTGTGGAGAAGACTTCGACCTTATATCAGAGTCTGCTGTGGATTTCATCAAAACGCTGCTGGTTAAAAAGCCCGAGTAAGTAAAATGTACATTCTACACACTAATGCATCAGACTGGAATCATTTTTAGATCTATTTGATGCTTTCATTTTCCTTTTGAGGCTTATTCACTTTTCATTATGTTCTTTGTATTTTTATATATGTAACTAGACAAGGTCTCAATTTCCCTCCGAACTTGTACATTGTGAGTGCACCCACATGTTAGTCATCCTAACTAATTCCTTTTGGAACATCAGAAATGAAGGAAACCGTGCGGTGCAATGAACTGGCTTTCTTTACGTGCACGGTGCTGGTGGCGTTTGTAAATCTGGAGCAGCGCGTTGCTCGTCTGTGGGTCCCCGGCGCTCCTCTCCGTGCGAGGCCAAGTGGAAATGGCAGCTCGCAGAACAGATGTTACCTGCGGGACCAGCTCTGCACGGGGCTCGTCAGCTGCTCACGGGGCCTGCTGTTTCTCTCCGGAGATCCTTGAATAACGCGAGGATTGGATAATTTATATATATTGCATGTATACACAAATACTGAGGTTCTGCTGATTTTGTTGTTTAAAATAACTTATTCCTGGATTGTTGGGGTTCTGTTTTGTTTTCCCAGCAACAGGTAGGGATCAGCACAAGTTTAGCGCATAGTGGAGAAATTTGTATGGATTTCATATGCAAAATGTTAGATTTCCGGTTTAACAGCGACCACTTTCCTTCCCGCGCAGGGAGCGGGCAACTGCCGAAGAGTGTCTGCAGCACCCGTGGCTGCAGCAGAGCCAGCCCGCGGCCCCCCGCGCCTGGGGCGAGAGACCGGCCGAGGAGAGCGGCGCTGCCCGGAGGGAGGCAGCTTCTGCCCCCGGGAAAGCCGGCGAGGCCGAGAAGGATGCCGAGGAAGAGGCGCTCGTGACGGAAGAGCTGATCGTGGTGGCCTCCTACACGCTGGGACAATGCAGGCAGTCAGAGAAAGAAAAAGTAACTGAGCAAAAAGCCATTTCCAAGCGATTTAAATTTGAGGAACCTTTGCTGCAGGAGTTACCGGGAGAATTCATTTACTGAACTGTGTGGAGGAGCTTCRTAGCGGTAACTGGAAGGCAGGGGTTTCTACTAAACAACCAATATCTTAGCCAAGGGAATCTCTGATATGCAATAGATGTTCTAGATAAACGAAAATGTTCAGAAATGGCAACTAAGGAAAATGTGCCAAGCTTTTAATTTTGTGGAACAGTTAAACAAGGTTTCAGTGGCTGACAGGAATTTAACAAGGATAAAAACTTATTTTTGTTTGCATCTTTATTTCTCATTTTTGTCTCTGGATAGCAGAGTCTTTGTTGATTATTCCAGTGTTCTGGAGAAGTTGACAGGAGAGGGAGAGTTTCAGTGACAGATGCCAAAAGGGGAGGGTTTTGTTTGTTTCTTTSTTTGTGTAGGATATATTTTGCCATTTAATGCACATATATACTGCTGGGTTTTCTTCAAACCCCTTTTCCTCACCCCTGACTTCAGTGGAGCGCTCTGCTGATCTAACAGTTGTCCAAGGAGGGACGGCGCCGGGCTCGACCCGCGGATTTCGGAGCCGTCCCGCGCGTCTGAGCGTCCTTGGGGCCGCGGCCGGGCAGAGGCGCCGGGCACGGAGCCCAGCCCGCAGGTAGACGCGTGACGTGGAGCCTGGCGAGGCCTCGCGCGCGGRGGGAGCAGCAGGGCCTGGGGTGTCCCTGGGGCTGGGGAGTGACCCACGAGGTGCCCGAGGGGGCCGCAGCCCTGCGCGGCCGCGGTGACACGGGGCGCGCGACGCGGCTCTGCCCAAGCTGCCCGGGCGCTGCTCCCCGCCGGCCTCGGACACCGGCCCAAGGGAGGCTGACGCGGGCGCTGAGGGCCCCTCCTCCCCCGGCCTTTCCTGGGAGCCCCAGCTCGCCGCCGGCCTCCCTGTCTGCCCACAGCGCCTTTAGGGAGCCGGGACACATCCCGCGGCCGCGCTGCGCAGCCCTGCTCCGCAGAGCYGAGGAGCACGCACCCCGGCCCCGGCAGCCGGGCGCCTCGTGCTCAGGTAGGGGTAGTTCTCCCTYGACAGGCTCCCCCCGCCACAGGATGAAGCAGGGACCACCTGGGCATCAAAACTGGTTTCTCGCCGTGTACAGACCTGAGGCTCTTGGATGGAGTCCTRGTTTTCTAAGAAATCTTTCAGATTGATGCTGTTCCAAAGTTTAATTTTTATGTAATTGAAGTTTAGTGCTATTATATTGCATACTGTTAACTGTTCAACTATTTATTTGGTTTCCTTACGCTGTTTCTTTATAATAAACCCTGACAAAAGTTTTCTTGCTATAGAAYAATGAATAGAAATTCTTAAGTTTCTCCTTTTATTTTTTTCCTCCCCAAGTTACAACAGACTCTTCCCTAATTTCAAACATGTACCAGGAATGTTCCTCCTCTTTCTAATGAGCTCAGTGCTCAGAGGTGCTTTTACAGTTCCTCCTATCACACAAGGTAAATGTGTATTTTATAATAACACAGGTAGTATTGGGGGGATGTGGTCAGGATTGCTGTGTAGCGGGGAGGAATCACTACTAAAGACACTGGAGGAAAAGCAGTGGGATGTGGTGTGAGGAAAGATGCATTTTTTCCATAGTGCTTCAGTGCCGGAGGCCTCTTTGCCATCCTTTGAGACCACATCAGAAAGGCACGTGCCCAGCTAAACCCTTCCTGCGCCGGCTCTGCTCCCGAGCCACACAGCCGAGCAGGTCCCCGGAGGACAGGGCGCCCCGCGAAGGCCTTTGTGTGCGGGCACCTGCAGTGGGGCCGGAACGCCTCCCTTCGGCCTCCTGCAGCGCGGGATGCGCGTGGAGCTGCCGGAGAGCTTGGTCCCSGGCTCTGGGCCCCCTTTCCTTGCTCTGTCCTTCCCGAGCCGCGAGCCTGGCCCACGCACTGCAGGAGGGATTTCTTGGGCCAGCTGTGGTTGGCAAACACTAGAAGTGAAGCCGGGGTTGGTGAGGCCGCCACGGGGGCCCACGTGGTGGCCAGGAGGCCRCGCGCTCGCTTGTGCCCGCGGTGCCGACGGGCCGGCCCAGCGGCTTCCGGCTACTCGCGCCCGCCAGGATGAGCCCTTTGCCTTGCACAAACTCCCGGAGCCCGGTTAAAGTGGGAGCGACGGAAGCTGGAGAGGTTGGGACCTGCTTCTCCGCTCGGGCACTTCGTTGCTCTGGCAGAGGCGCAAAGTGCCGAGGCTGAAACGCAGTCACACAGCGCGGGTTTGTGCTGCTGTAGCGGKTGCCATCCCGCCGGCAGCGGGGGCTGCTCGGGGCAAATGACTCGTTTTCCTTCCTCCGTGTAGCCTCCCGGTTGGGCCCAGCGCACGAGAGCAGCGGGAGGGCAGCCCACGCGTTGTCCCGTGTTTGCCGCTTGTCCCGACGGCGGCRAAGCTTAACGCGTGCGAGGGAGCAGCGTCCTCGGTACAAGGCCCCCTTCTGAAGTGGCTGCTTTAAGATTTCCCGTGTGCGGCAGTTCCGTGYAGCCCGTCGTGCCTCGGGCTGCGTGCGCAGCGTTTTAATGTCGTTAAGAATTTGCATGAGGTTGTGGAGGTTCAGTGGGGTGTGCAGGTCAGAGGTGTCGGCAGGACACGTCAGAGTGGCCCCGCAGGACAAAGTCAGCGTTGCTGTAAGGGGCTACCGCAGGAGGTCATCCCGTTCCTGYGGCGTCTGAGGCTCCAGGCGGGGCTAGGGGAGCGCATCCCGCACCCGCTCCATGCAGAGCGCGTGGGGCTGCGCGGCCGAGAGCAGCTGCTGAGGCCGCCGGTTTCGAGCGCCTCCGTTGCTGCGAAGGGACCCACGGGCCCGGAGGAGGCATCGCGGCCGCACACAGGACTGGGGGGGCACCCCCAAAAGCAACCTGCCCTGGGAGAGCGGCGGGTGCCCAGTGCGGGCAGGGGAGGGACCCCCGGCCCTGCCGCAGCCGCGCTCCGARGCGCCGGGAGCCAGGCGGCCACCTGCTTGTAGGAAGGGAAGGAAAGGGAATGGAAGCGCCTCCCAACAGCCGGAGAAGCGTGGGATGCAGGGCCCAGAGCCCCAACCTGCCAGGCGGGCTGCGAGGTGCCGCCGGCACCGCTCAGCTGGGAATCCTCCACAGGACCAACTGCCCCTCGGCTGCAGCTGGCACCGGGAGCGGGCAGGGAGCGCCGTGGGGTTGGGCCGCTCGTCCTGCGCTCGGGCCTCCCTCCTAGGGTGCTCCAGGGACTTGTCTTGGAAGGCACAGGGAGCTGCTGCCAGCTCACTGGGTGTCTCCCTGTGTATTTGCTGCTCCAGAAGCTTTGCAGGAACTGCAGCTCTCTTCGTGAGCAGCAGGCAGGCTTTGCAAAGTTCGTTAGTTCTTTGGGGAAATGCTTTTTTTCAAATGAGTTTAAAAAAAAAATGAAAAAAAAAAATCTTGAAACCACCACTTGCTGGTTTGAAACTTTTCCAAAAGTTGGGCTAGCTTATCCGAAACAAGGCACCCGCACGGCCCCAGCGAGTGCAGGGCTGCCCTGGGGGCTACTGCAATTTAAAAACTCCTTCTCTTCTGTGTTTGGTGACTCTGCACCTAACTTCACCTCTGCCTTTGGGCACGAGCCCGGCTGGCGCTGCCAGAGCTGGGGCAGCSCGCTACAGGGGCCTCCTGTGCAGGGGCCCTCGCTGCCCCCCAGAACTTCAGTGCTTTTCTCCACATCCCTCTAACGGGGTTGCTGATGCTTCAGCCTTCTGCAGTGCACGGTGCCTCCATTTGGACCAACTTCCCAAGGTGCGCAATACTCCTTTCCACTTTAAAGCAATTCTTGGTGTTCGCATTGTAGCGAGCTTCCTGAGACAACACTTACAGATGTTGAAATAAGATGTCATTGGGATTAATAAATATAGTCATATTACTCTTGTARTGTCCCCGGTTTGTTTGTAGTCCCTGGGTGTGTCCTCGAGCTGCGTTGCCATTACCTCCAGGATCATTATTTCACACGTCTGGCAGGAGGAAACCATTTGGGCTGAAGGTGTGGGGTTGGGAAGGTGACAGCTCCATGTCAGTGGGTGCCGTGTAGCTTGGGATGAGAGTGTGTCCGGAGTGGACGTGCTGGCGTGGATGCAAATTCACCTAATGACAACAAAGCACGTGGAGCTGTGCGTGCTGTAGCAGCCAAGCTCCAAGATCCCTTCCGGAACCCGCACCCAGGACTATCCCAGTGTACTGGCTGCTGTGACTTCCTGTGGGGACAGGCACAACAGCAGCCACAGCACTAGCAGACTGAGCAACATAGGGAYCTTCTACCAGCCCCCTGCAAGAAAATCAAACCCTTTGGATGTCACCAGTTGCTGCTAGTGAAATCCAGCTGCCTCCGCTGCTCCATGGAAGTTTGTAGAGGAGGATCTTGCCCCCACTGCTCTCCTTTGGTGACAACTTCCTCAGGCCAATGACTGTGACAGAAGCTGCTGAAGTCGAGCGTTAGGGTAAGAACCTCAGATCCACAACCCAGCAAATGCCATAGAGATGCCAGTTGTTTTAACCTCACCAACAAATGCAAAAAGGGCCATGGAAAGTTGCAAGGGAACTTAAAATAAATGGACAGACTTAAGTGATTAAGGTGATTAAGGGACTGGAGCACCTGTCATACAAGTGGAGACAGCTGGGCTTGTTCAGCCCTTAGGAGAGAGGCCTCCGGGGGAATCTTCTCTGTGCATCAGTCAATACGTGATGGGGGCAGGAAGGAAGACAGAGAAGAAAGAAGACGAGAGGAAATCAATATAAAGTGAAAAAAAACAGCCCCAGGAAATTCTGTTTAAGAAAAAAAACTTTCTCACTCTAAGGCTGGTCGAACATTGGAGCTGGTTGCCCAGAGCGTTTGTGGAGTTTCCATCCTTGGCAATACTCTAAACCAAAACACAGACCTAGCCCTGAGCAATCTACTCCAGGAGACCCTGCTTGGGCAGGGAATGTTTCCAATATACAGTGAAACCCTTACCCAGAACCATGGACTTTAGCCCATGCGGAACAGCGTGATCACCACTGGCAAATTAGAGCTTCGTTGCCTCCGGTGAAGGGGTCAAGCAGAGGGTCCTCTGCTGTGGCAGAGGRAAGGGCTGKGAAGCCAAGAGGTGCCCAGGAGCCYTCTTGGAACTGGGTTTTCAGCAGGTGCTGCCATTTAGAGATCGGCCCATTGGCTGCACTCACTGCACCTGCAGCTGCACTGCCACATGCCCAGGGGGAGGCTTTTTTAACCCCCCTTGGAAGGTGTATGTCTTAACAGAGCTCAGATGTGGAGAGGGGGTGGCTGCTGAGGCTCTTGCAGGTTATGAGATAACAAAGTTTTTGTTTTCTGGAGGATGCATAAAGTAAATGCAGGGATTTTAATGTCAGTGAGTGACAGTCTCAAGGCTGGGTCACCCTGTCCCGCCTTGACTCGCCCCGTCCCTCCCTGGTGTGTGGGGCACAGCGGGTAGCGTCAGGTTGCGCAGCCCRCACAGCGTTCAGTGGAGCCCCAACTAAACCTCTTTCTAGCAGCAGTTTTTGCAGAGAAGCGTTTGCGAGGACACCGGTCCTTCCCTTGGTTGTGTCTGG